TATTATTATTATTATTATTATTATTATTATTATTATTATTATTATTATTAATGGCTTTTACAGTTTTCTACATTAAGAGTTGCTACTGTTTTCTACACTAGTATACATTGGATTCGGAAACTCGCCTCCAAATCAAAGTGATATTTCCCTGTCTTATATGATTTTATTTAGGTACTATTTTCAGGCAAAACTATGTAATGCACATTTGGTTTTCAGAGAGTTGGAGACAGCTGGAAGATACCACATACATTTGAATATAACCCGCCCCGAATATTATCTGCACTCTAATTTTCCTGAGGCTTCTTGAAAAAAAATTTTTATTTTTATTACAAAAATATCTGTCCTTGAAAGGCGCACTGATTAACACTGGTTAGAGTGCGACTTTTATAAAGCTGCACCCCAAGGCCTGTCTTCACATGTAAAAAACCATGTACCATGTACAACACGTTTCAAGTTTGCGGTACCAACATAGATATTACCACTCCAAGTTTCAGCTATCAGTTTTTGGAGGAAAAAAAAATGCACGTTATATTTGAGTATATCTGGTAATATAATTACACCTGGGTTCCACTTCTCTCCAATGTAGAAATGCATTTTTTCACATTAATTTACAATTTCTTAATACCTACTATGAGTTGAATCTCAAAGTTGATATTTATACTGTAGTTTGCTATCATACTAATCTTTTGCATGTGCAAATTTCAAATCTTTTTCTGGAGATTACAGTTAATAGTTTGGTAAAAATCTGAAATTCCAGTTTTAAGGAGGATTTAACTTTTAGGTGATATGCTACTTATCATTGAAATTTTACATAAAATAACTACTCTTATGAGTATGAGCACAGAAAAAAATATGGCTGTGACATTCCTTATTAAAAAATTTATCTTTGAAAATTGAAATGTGTTCATTTGCAGTCCATAGTTATGGTTGGAAGTATTATCATAATAAAAACATTCAAGGTAGGTAAATATCACTTTGATTTGTTGGCCAGAGTTTACTGAATCCAATTTTAAGTGCTACCCAGCCAAGAGGAATTTAGAATCCTGTAAAATCTACAAATATGAAAAATGGTGAATATTGTGAAACAAAAATTGCTGCCATTTGTGAACCATGTACTGTAAATTTTTCTTTATGGTTTGGAACAATCAAAACATGAGAGTTTATATATATAAAAATAGGATTTTTTTCTGAGACTGAGGTGAATAATTATTCATGCACACATTAAAGGAAATGACTCGTGTGATGTTTATAGTCTTTGCAACATACTGTTATGTCAGTATTTGAGGGGTGTGTTTTTTTGGGGGAAAGGTATTGTAAAACAAATCGTAACTGACTAGGCTTAATCTGCTAATACAAGAGAATATCCTATTTTGTAAAATTTTTAGGGAAAACCTAATGTTATGTTCGGATAAATATTGTTTTCTACAAAGTAGCTGTTCAAAAACAACAAATAAAATTCTGTGATATAACACTGCAATAAGTATTTTGGCAACAAACCTTTGTCTTATGTTTGAGTAAATATACCATTCTTTACCCAAATATAAGATGAGGTTTATTCTGATATATCTTCTGTCAAAAACTGCAGGATCATCTAATATTCGCAGATTAGGCCTAGTCGGTTAGGATGTAAGATTTTACATTTTACTTTGCCATTCTTTGTCACAAAACTCATAAATGTAGACATAACTATATACTGTGAAGACAGCAAAAATATCACATATCTACAATACGTAATTATTTTCGCATTCGTGATCTTTGCATCCACCGTGAATTTGTCGGGCAATTCAGACATATTTTTGAACGGGTTGGTAAAGAGAATCTCTAACTGAATGGCAGTGTATCTTATGAAATGTAACAAAATCTCAGTATTCATTTTCATATTACATGTTTTATGAGTCAATGCGGAATCTTGTTTCGATGCCCAGCAAATGCAAATATGTGTTTTGAAAAGTTAAACAGAGGCAAGTCTATCATCAAGTGGATTGTGGATAGAAAATCTGGAATCACAGTAGGGAATGTTCTTAGTTGGTGTCGGATGAAAAACTATAAACAATGGAAATTTAGTTCACAAAACTTTCAGTGGGGCATAAAAAGTCCGAAGATGTCGCAGCATGTAAGGAGGACCGAAAACAAGGAAACGTCGATACATTTGAAGATGATAAGGATAGTGTCAAAAAACCACGATAATGATTTTAACCCTATGTGGTCTTTTGTCCCACGTGGACGCAGCATTTTCCTCATTGTAGACCCTTTATATCTCGAGGTCTGCATTGGTCTGGCATGTTGGAGTGTAAGAGACTGTACGCAGATTCTAAATTTTTCTTTCTTTCTTTCTTTCTTTCTTTTCTTTTCTTTTCTTTCCTTTCCTTTCCTTTCCTTTCCTTTCCTTTCCTTTCCTTTCCTTTCCTTTCCTTTCCTTTTCTTTTCTTTTCTTTTCTTTTCTTTTCTTTTCTTTTCTTTTTTCTTTTCTTTTCTTTTTTCTTTTTTTTTCCTTCTTTTTATTATATGGACAAGTAAGTCCATTATTTACAAAAAGAATACAATAAAAATTTGCATGTAGCAACATAATTATAAAAATAGAAATATTAATGAAGAGAAACATTCAATAATAACATATTAAATATATCTGGTATAACAGTAGCTATACCACACATACTCATTCAAATTTCAAGATGTTGTTGCTCACTAGTGATAAAAAAGCAGATTTATCCCTTTCAGAAATATCAATATTCAAACTGTTGACTGTTTTGCAACATCGATTTATAACGTTATTTACAGTGTAAGATTGACGGTAAAATCTAATATTAAAAATATCTTTGGTTCTAGAATTAAAGTTAGGTTTTTTTTACACTACTTGGTTTCGCAAGATTTTGCAATCGACCTCGTTCAATATCAGTTTTCTCCAATCCAACAAGTTGTTCAAGTCTCTCTGAGAACTCAGAGAAGGAATGTGTGATTGCAGAACCAAGTCATTTAATTCATATTTTATACATGGATCTTTCAATCCCAAATAGGCTGACATTCTGAAAAAATTGTGTTGGACTGTTTCAATTTGTGATTTGTATTGCGAGAAAAACTGAGACAGAACCACAGAAGACTACATCATTATTGGCTTGTCCAGCATAAGAGAGAGTGATCACTACTGAGTGTAATTCACGGCAGAATCTTTTAATGAATCCCAAGACTTGGTTTGATTTAACTATTGTGTGAAAGTCATCTTGGAATCAAAAATCATGCCCAGATCTCTAATGGTATAGACTCTCTCTAGTGGCGTGAGATTCATCATAGGTTTCATTTGATCTAGATCTTGAAAAAGTTGTAATTTTATGTTTTGCGATATTGAGAAAAAGATTGTTCTTCACGCACAATGCATATAAGGCACTTAGGGTGTTTTGCATAAGGATTCTGTCTTCATCAGATTGGATTTTTTTTAAAATTTAAGGTCATATGCAAAAAGGAGATACTCCACATCCAATATACTGTTGCATATGTCCTTAATAAAAATGTTAAATAAGAGAGGATCTAAGTGTGTCCCCTGAGGGACACCTGAAGCTGCCTCTATAGGATCGGAAATACTCTTATATGAAACCAACTGAACTCGATGAGCCAGGTACCTGTGAAACCACTCTAGTAACGGTTCACTGACCCCCAACTGCTCCAGTTTAACTAGCAAAATCTCGTTGTTTGCTGAGTCGAATGCCTTGCTAATATCTCTATATATACAATCAACTTGAAGTTTATGTTCCATAGCTTCAAGAATATAACAAGAGTAACAAGACAAATTAACTTCTATATTTCTCCCAGTCAGAAAACCAAATTGTCTATCCAAAATATGTGCATAAATAACAACTCTGATTAACAACATCTCAAGAATTGAAAAAGTCTTGGGATAACACTCAGAATGGAAATTGGTCTGTAATTCTTGATGTCGTTTCTGTCACCAGATATATAACTAAAGTTTCAATATCTTTAATTTTAGTGTATTTTTCCAATTGTGTTACAAAATTATTTTAAAGTTTTTTTACAAAACATTGTATTTATTAATATTATTATTATTATTATTATTATTATTATTCAACAATACCCAATCTTGGGACTCTTGGTAATTGATAAATTGGAACAATATTTAATTCTAAAAATATTTTTTTAAAGTAAGCTTTTGTACAGAATAGTTATGCTTGTAAAATGCATTGGGTAAACCCATTTTACAGAAATACAGAAATACAGAAAATCTTATGCAAAACTTATAAGAGTGCTTGTTTTTTCTTCCTCATCTGGTCACTTGTATTATCTCTACCTGCTCTCAGGTTTTCACTGAATTAATGTACTCTTGTGCCTGTTAGTCCGAGATGACATGTGCAGAAGTATTTATATTGAGTAATTTTTCGATAATACTTGCAACGAAATAATTTTATACACTGCGTATTAAATGCTTTTGTGTTAATATAAAATGTTCAATATTAAACTTGTAATAGTTTGTTTTATTTCATAACGTGGTATTCAAATTTACAAGGTCTAACTGTGGTGCAATTGGCAGTGCCCTACATCTGGAATCTCCTTCTGCCCTCACAGGCTGCACGGCCTGGTGACGGCTCGGCAGCTGGACAAACAGGCCATCACACAGCTGGAGCGCCGCCTTCAAGATGAGCGACGCATCCGCAGCAGCTGTGAGGCGCAGCTTGCAGCTGAGCGCAAAGCCAAGAAGGCTGAGGAGGCTGCTGCAGCACGTGCTGTTGCCATGGCGCAAGCTGCGACTAAGTAAGTTGTGTGTGCCTGTGTTTTCTCATATCAACTGACTAATATTGTTATATAGTTATTTACCAAACTAGTTCTGAATGTGACTCCTTAGGTTCAACGGATTCTTGCTGAACCTAAGCTGAACGAAGCAATAATAATAGGAGCAGACTCCCTTATTTTGAAATGAGTATCACAAAGACACATTTGTAGAAATTGCTTTCAGTAATTTTTGTATTTAGTAATCATGCATGATATCGGGCTGCACCATGTGTAGCATAAGGGATGATTTTGAATATCTGAATTTTCTAGAAAGACGGGGAAAAATACACTGGACTTTTCAGGTGGCAGAGAAAAGGAATATAACTCCCCCTTTTCCATGGAAGAATTATTGTTTGAGCTTTCTCTTCTGAAAGACTCTGCTCCAGGACCTGACCAAATCCACAACCAAATGTTAAAACACCTACCCAAGAAGGCACGATTGTTCCTCCGTAACCTCTTCAACCGCATTTGGAATGAACACATCAATCCTGACACCTGCTGCTAGACTATTGGAAACCCTATTCGTAAGGAAGAAAAGGATTGAATGATTCCTTCGAGTTACCGACCAATTTTGCTTACTAACTGTTTTTGTAAGTTGTTGAGAGAATGGTTAACAGACGTCTGATTTGGCTCCTGGAGCATAGAAACTTTTTAACACCAATTAATGTGGCTTCAGGAAGCATTGATTTTCTTTGGATCACTTGGTCACTCTTGCATCGCAGATATCCACTTCCTTTGTATTACAACACCTTGTAGCCATCTTCTTTGGCATTGAAAAAGCCTATTACATGACCTGGAAGCATGGCGTACATCACACTTTGCACTCTTGGGGACTTAGAGAACAGTGTTCCTTATGAACTACCTTTCTTCAAGACCTTTTCCAGTCTACTTTTGGTACAATCTTCCAGTCAGCCTTTGGAAAATGAAGCTCTTTAGGGGTCATTTCTAAGCACCACTTTGCCATTGTAATTAACAACATAGCGACAGTCGTACGAGAGCCTGTAAAGGCATTGCTTTTTGTTGATGATGATTTTGCCATTTTCTGCTCATCCAGGAGCATGAACTTCGTCCAAAGGCAACTACAACTCGTCCTGAATAGACTTAATGAATGCAGTGCAAAAACAGGATTTAAGTTCTCCATCTCAAAATCAAAGTGCACTCCTTTCTGCAGGATATCCCTCCACAATCAGTTAGATCTGTTCTTTGGAAACCACCTACTTCAGCTTGTTGACACATCTTCCTTTCTTGGTCTGATATTCGACAAAAACCTGACATGGCAAAAACATGTCCGCAACCTGCAGTGCCAAAGTGTAATGCCATGAAACCTACTTTGCAATCTCAGTGGCACCTCATGGGGCGCCGATCATACATGACTGTTACAGTTATACAAGACACTTTTTTGATTTGTTTTGGATTATCGGAGAATTGTATACAGCTCCATGTCAGCTTCAACTTTATGACCTCTCAATTCTATTCACCTTGCCGGAATCCACATTGGCCCAGGTGTCTATCACACAAGCCGTATTGAGTCTCTCTTGGCTGAAGCTGGAGAATCATCTCTTAGCTAAAGACTGGAGATTTTAATTTGTTCACACAGTGCAAAAGTGTTAAAGAGTTGAATGGTCCATCTCGGCAAGTACTCTTGCCCCAAGTCTCCAAACATCATACTTATTGAGACCATCTTTACTTAAACCACAGGGTATCCGCTTTTACATTTAGTTGCAGGAACTTAACCTGAAACTTCCTGCCCTCAGTGAAACCTCACAAAATTCTGATCCCTCCTTAGAAACTTCTCTGACTTCTCCAGCCTCCCTAAAACATCAACTTTACCCATTATATATCTAAAGAGCTTTAATGAGTCAAGAGTATCTTATTCAGACCATGTACACTGACGGCTCTGTCCCAAATGACTCTGTGGCATGGGCGCTCTACTGTAGAACAGCCACACTGTCATTCAAAATTCACCCGTACTGTAGCATTTTCTCTGCTGAGAAGTTCACTGTTCCGCAAGACCTGAAATACATAGAAGTCAGATTTTAAACTTGCAAGAATCAAGGATTGTATAAAGGCTTGGACTTCCTCATCTCGTAAGTCTAGGCATGAGGAGATTATTCTGACACTCCTTTGGATCGGTCACTGCCATTTCTCCCTTGGCCATCTTCTCCACGGTGACCCCACTCCTACTTGCGATAGTTGTGAGATGAATCTTATCATGGAGCATGTTCTCCTGCATTGTTCTAAGATAAGAAATAGCCGTTGAAGGCTTCACCAGGCCAGTGCTCTAGCACAGGTACTTGCAAATGATGAGTCTGCTCTCTGCAAGCTTTTTAGCTTCTTATGAGAGTCTGACATACACGGCATTATCAGAAAGAAGAGGATTATGCCAACTATTTGGCTTTTTATTGGAGATTTTAGTGTTTAAGTGGCTCTTTTCTGCCAACCCCTCTTTTTAAATAATTGAACACGTTTATTTTCAGTTTTACTCACATTTTACTCTGCTTTAAAAAATGTTTTAGTCTCTCCTGTATATAAAACAAAAAAAATATTTTCGTCTCTTTACAAATGGGCATAATTGGACCAACATAGTTCTTTTTTTGTCTGGGACTTCTCTATCTTACTTGAACTCGCCTTACCTACAGAGCTTTTAATTGCGATCCAGCTCATTATTTAATTTAACGTTAGTTATCCATTGTTATTTATAATGTAAAAATTAGTTACTTTTCATTCACTGTATACTTTAAATTTAATACTTTTTTATTATTTATACTTTTTATTATTAATAATATTTATTCTTTATTTCAAAAGTGATATTTATTTTATGAAAAAATTGTATTCTGTACTATCAGGTCTCGCGCACAGGAATGTGTTCTTAGCGAGATACAAAATTATAGTATATTTTGTGTATTCACTTGTATTTATTTTGTTTATATTGGCACTGCTGTAGTGCGTATTGCTCTTAAAATAATTTGACACGGGCACCAATCATCTTAGCTGTTCAAGCGCCTTAAACCTGAATTATAATAATAATAATAATAATTATTATTATTATTATTATTATTATTATTATTATTATTATTACAATAATTATAACAATCATCATCATCATCATTGATCAGTTTCTCTCACGCAACATAGCATTTTTAGCAAATCCAGAATACCTTTATAGTCTACCACACTCCTGGTAACTCATGGGAAAACAAAGTAGAAAAGAATCAATTTTTGTAATACTTACAAATACAATCTCTTTGATCAGTTTGAGCATGAGAGATAATTGAGAGATCATAAACTTTGATGATGACGACGATTGCTTTGAGTATAAACCCCTGATTTGCAACAAAAAAAAAAGACAACTATTGGCTGTCTAAGCTGCATACGAATGAAGATGAAGATCATCTCCTGGGATAAGAAAATCATTTATCTGCTTTGCAAGTTGTGAATTTATCTTGAGAATTCCCTAAGCACAATAACATTCTTGCTTGCATCCAGTGCCATTCATTTCCTCTTTTGCAGTGCTTTTATTTTTCCATTTCTATTTCTATTTCTGGAGTCCTGTTTTATGGTATAGTGCTCCTGTGCTGAAGGGTTAATATGTGACCATTTGCAGTACTCTTTCATAATAACAGCAGGTTGGTGACATGGCACCCTGTGCATCAGCAATCACCAATCCCACAGCTCAATCAAAACTATTTTGAATACTGTTGCATTATTCATCTTAATAGTTCCAAATTACTTTGAGACTTTCTGTCATGTTACGTCTAAAGACATTGTTAGATTGTTCATCAAAATGTTTGAATTTGAATAATGGTAAATATAAGTCTTTGTCTTTTACTAGATCTAGTTATCCCATTGTATTCAATTGCGAACTAGGAGTGAACTAATTGAACTAGGAGATGCAATGTTGGAATCAGTTTCACACTTTAGAGATTTGGGTGTTATTTTTGATCAAAAAATGAGTTTTCATCTACATATTGACGATATTATTAATAAATCAAATCAGATGTTAGGATTTTTGAGACGTATTGCATCTGAATTTACCAATGTGCAAACCTTCAAAACTTTATATTTAACTCTAGTAAGACCGATATTATTATATGGCTCACAAATATGGTCTCCCTTTTACGAGAACCATATCTCTAGACTTGAGGCTGTTCAGCACAAATTTTTTATTTTTGCTGCCTTCAAGCTTGATATTCCATCTCCTAGATTTAGTCACATTTATTTCCAAGTCGCAACTAGATTGAATATTAGCTCATTACGCTCCCATGGGGATTATTTTGATGTACTTTTTCTGTATAATTTGATAAATCATGATATAGACTCTTCAGAATTACATTGTAAAATTCCTTGGGCTAATCCAGTGTGTGATCTGCGTTCCACAAACAGCATGTTATTTAATATTCCTTTTGCGAGATCAACCTTGTACTATTATGTGCCAGTATGGAAAATGTGTAGAAGTGCCAACTGTAACCGCATTAACTTATTTTGTTCACCTTATCAATTTAAAAAAACTTATAAAAACCTGTTACTAAATGATTTTCAATAATACGGTAATGTAAATGATATTTAATAATTGGACGATTGCCTGTAATTATATGTATATAAATAAATAAATGTTATTGTATGAAGAAAATAAATTTTTAGCTAGTGGGTTATTTATAATTGTCTTATGTGTATAGGCAGGAGTGTACAGAGAGCTGTAGAGCGCGAAGGCGCGAGCTGGAGGCCGAAGGCAAGCAGCTGCGACGTGAGCTGAAGATAAAGGATGAGCGAGTCCTTGCAGCAGAGCGTGAAATACAGGTTAGTAAATACTTTTTAAATGAAAAAATTAAAAAGTTTGTTAATCTGGCTTGAGAATGAAACCTGTAAAACCCCTATTTTAAATAATAATTACAAAATATTTGTAATTGTTGACATCATCATGATCATCCTATATCTCTCTGTCTTAGTAGTTTGTATTTTGAGAGAGAGTATTTTACCTTTGAGAATCTTCCTTCACTCATTATATTAATATGTGAATATATTAATATTTGTTGTCTTGGGTTTTTTCCATATTTGTTTTGTTTCCGTGTTGATCCAGTCTTGTATAATGGAGGAAATGTCTAAAGAACTTGTATTACTCTGTATGTATTGAAGAAAGTAGAAATTAATGTTTATATTTATTTCTTTGTAAATGAAAGTATACTAAATCAATGATTTGAAGGGAAGTACTGATAAATGACAGTACAAACAATTTGAAGTTTTAAGAAATATTATTTTAATTGAAAAAAATTTATATTCTAAAGTTTCAACAATATCTTAAATACTGTAAATAGTAAATAGCTATCCTTTTTTAAAAGAATTTCAATATCACATACGAATGTTTTTAAAAAATGTTTAAAAACATTGCATTTTAAGACAGATTGCATTTTAATACACGCAAAGGGAGTCACAAAAGTGGTAGATGAGGATACCTGTCTTTCTAGAGCTCTAGTTTAAGGATTCAGGTTTCTTTGCTATTCAAGAACACTGGCTCGACTTTCAAATTTTGAATTTATAGTTTAGTTTCCTGTCTTAACATCTCTGAAAAAATCTCTTTTAATTGTTCCATTTATTCTATTATATTTGAAAACTTTGTGCTGCAAATCTTGAGAATTTTGCCCATTGTTTTCCCTAATTATTGAAACATTGATACTTGCTTTATTTCTCCCTCAATAACTACCAGCTTAGTAGACTCAGTGCATCAATTAATGTCACACTACACCTTTTAAAATAAATATCTGTGATGTGAGGAAGGTTTACAAAGTAGGGCGAGCAGCGATGCAAAAGAAGTGGAAGGAAAAAAATAATCATATAGTGTCTAAAATCTCTAATGTTTTGACAGCATCAGATGAATTAGCAGTGAATTTTTTTTTTTTTTTTTTTTTTTTTTTTTTTTTTTTTTTTTTTTTTTTTTTTTTTTTCAGACTCTGCGGCAGTACAAAGAGAGCCACAATGACTCTGAGATACTTATGTCTGCTCTGTCAGCCATGCAAGACAAGAACGCCCATCTGGAAAACAGCCTCAGCGCCGAGACACGCATTAAGTTGGATCTCTTCTCTGCTCTGGGAGAAGCAAAGCGGCAGCTTGAAATCCGAGAGAGTGAGTTCAGTGATTTTTAATGGCTTGGGAGTAAATTGCTTATTTCTTAAGGCCTTTTTACACAGTACAGTTTTCATCCACATTCTCATACAGAAACTGTGCAGAAATGTCGAGATCCCAAACTAGAAACATAAAATCTAAAAGTCGTGTTTACACAGTCTGCACATTTTCTACGCATTTACTTTGCGAGATGCCACGGGACCCCGCCAGAGGCTCTGCCATCATACAGAAGAATTACCCAATTGCACCATTCATAAAAATTCATTCATTAGTGAACATGCATTCTGAGCTAATTTATTAGGTACACCATAGGTAGAACAAATAGAAAAGATGCCTACTGGTGGAGTAAAACTGCATTTTCCTGAATGAACAAAATAGAACACGCTCAAAAGTTTTCATGCAGACTTCAGGCATTCTGGACTGCATGCTTTTTGTATGTCCAATTTGCATGAAAAATATATTGTGTAAAATGGCCTATAGTCTGAAAATAATTTATTCAGCATTTGATTCATTTTAAACATTAACAACTCTCGTGAAAATACTCGTGATCAAATGGAAACAAATACTTACATCAGTTAGCCTCATTCCCTCGTGCACTTCCATGAAAACTACATTGCAATAACTTCAACTGTTCAAAAATTACAGGAAGTGCTGAAGTTACATGACTCACCCTGTATAATGGATAAAGAGAATAAAAAAGTATTAATTTGTAACATAATCACTCTATTGTTGATTGATACTACTTTTATTATAAGTTTTTCCCAACTACACTTTGACCAACCAAACTGGATTCCTTTTAAACATGCTTCGAACAGTGTCAGAATCAACTCTTATTAAATTTTGATGGATATCTCAAGTAATGTAATAGTTTGATGGACCCCACAAACCCATTTTCTTTGTCTCTAGGCATCATCCGTGCACAAGAGAAGGAGATAGAAGAACTGAAATCGAAGATCGCGCAGGTTCTAGCTGTGATGCCAACAGACGTTGCGTTTGGCCCATCACCCACAGGGAACTCTGGGATGTCCAAGCTGCGGCTGGCAGACACATCCGCACAGTGTTTGCCCTGTCCAGGCTGCACCGTCTCCACCCTTGACCCCAACGCCACCGCATACACCCCTAAGGGCAGCCTTGTCGCCTCAACTGAGGCCTGAGCTGGCCACCCAGGTGCGACATGTCGCACACCCGGAGTCCGAAAACATTTTTTTATTGCTGCCGTTACTTTACCACACTGCTGCTGCCAAAAAAATTAAGTTTGTTTCTGACTTCGATAAAGCTTTTCACTAGAAAGGAGAAAAAACTTGTTTATAATTTGAAAATGTCACCAAACTACTTAGCTTTTTTTGCCTGTCTTCTGAAATTTTTTCAACAACAGAAGGAATATGTTTTCAGTTGGAATGTATATTACTTCCAAAATTTGCCCCTAAGTGCAGAAAGTTTTCCTTTTTGTTATTTTTTAGTACTTTGCTATTTTGTTTCTGTTTCATAAAAGTGTTCTTTTGGAAAGGTTAATTAAGTGATCCCTTTGATAAGATATTTTAAAGGTGGAGAATAATTTTCAGTTTGATCTTTTCTTTTATATGTTCCTGTTTTGTTTTTTTTGGTTTTTTTTATATATATTTAAGTGTTTGCAAATTAGGCATTTGCATTTAAAGCTTTATTTTGATTATTTATCTGTGCTTTCTTTTGTGATTGTGTAGAACAGCAGTGAGGTCATAAATCTGTCTCAATTTTTATGATTTTATTATGGTTCAAACCATTTTTTTGAATTATTCTTCTTTCTCTGTTGTTCTTGTTCATTTCTTATTGCTTCTTCTTCAGAATTTTTTTAATTCATACTTTGGGTTCTTTATGTTCCATTCTCATTATGACCCTATTTTCATTTACATTAGGTAACTTAAATATAATTAATTATACCTCTTCTTTTCTGTGATTGCAGATTATTTTCCTCATTTGAATTTGTTTTAGTTATCTTACTATTCAACATTTTTCTCACACAATATTTATTTAATTTACAAAAGTATAGCAAATGAGAAGATGACTGATGTTATTCGTGTTACATGAATAGAATATTATGTTAGCAAAAGTTTTTAGTTAGAATGCTTTAGGTAGCAAGACATTGAAATTTAATCTTTGGGGTGATCATTTATGTGCTTATTAATTTCTGTCTCTTAATAGAACATTCTTGAATTTCTTCCTTTCTCCTGACATTACTTAGGTATTCAACATGTGAATTTCATTTCTTTTATTAACTTTTTTCGTTTTGAAGAGGAACAGATATAATCACTTATTAGGGGTGGCATTTTCAGGTATTAATGAGGTTTTTATATTGACAGGCTTGTTAACTGTTAACATAGCTTTTAATTTATTGAGATTGACTGGAGATAAATAAGCATCTCAGATTGTAATGTGTTCATTACAAGCAAATTGTACCTCTATTGTGCATCTGATGGCACGCAAAGAGCTGATTAATTGACTTGCCCCTACCTGTTGACATGTGGCAGGAGGCTGTTAAGCTCTTTGAGAGACCACGAACAGTGTGTTCTCATAGCCTCCACATTTGTTAGTAAACATAAAGACATGTCAAAAGATTTTTTGTTTTTAACTTCTTCACTTATCTCGACATTCTTTTTGTTTTGACATGGTGGCAGCAGTGTGCTGATAACATGTAGCAATTTCCGACCGATTCGTAATTCACTGCAAGTATTTTGCTGACATACTAGTCGAAGATGATTTATGTGTTTTTTGCGTGTAGGCATTTTTACTAGTGTTCCAGATCTTTGTCTTTATTATGTTTATTTTTATTTTTAGTTACTTTTAATTCGCATGTGCCGGAATTAGATCTGTTTGTGAAATCAAGTACAAAAGCACGATATGTTAGATGAGAGGGAAGATTTGGAAGTACCTTCTTGTGATAAAACACTGGCAAATGATTATCAGTAAATGAATAATTATTTGCCATTGTTTCACAAAAAGAATATTCCAGTGATATGAGTGGCATCAGAGGCAAATTGACTGATTCAAGCAAATATTTATTTACTAAGTAGTTTACTGATTAGGCATGGACACAAGACTCAAAAATTTCTACTTGTACTAGTTGTAGTACACATACTGTTTATACTTATCCACCCCTAGAACTCTCTGTACTGATCCTACTGAACTACTACTATTTCTTCCAAATACTGTTACTGACACTACAAAACTACTGCAACAGCTACTACTACTTTCACTACTACTGCAACAACTACTATCACTTCTACTTCTACTACTTTTTCTACAGCTTACTATGACTTCATTCTGCTGCTGCTGCTGCTACTACTATTACTACGCATGTTAATTATTTTTGTAATATGATGGTGTACCTCGTAAGATCTTGTATTGGACAGTTACAGATGTCCACAAAAGATAATTTATTTTTTTATATCTTTAGTTGCTTTTAGCTACACAGAATTCCAAGAATAGATTTTGTTTAAAAAGTGTAGAGGTGATTACGGAGTTAGAACAATTCTGGCCTAGTCATGTCATGTATTTTTCCCTTTGAGCGAACCCTCTTTTTTGAGGGTTTGACTATCTTGTTTTATCCAGTACTGCAAAAAAATTATGCAAAAATAGGTTTGAAACTTAATCATCTCTCCATATTCTTTTCATTCTGCTTTTCTTTTGTGAACTTGAAGTTGCTTAGTGCTGAATATTACAATGTATGTTGGGAGTAGAGAATGGTTTATTTGGAGAAGTGTGATTTCTTGTTTTTTGTTTGTTTTTTTTTTTTTTTTTACTTCTTTATTAATCATTTATGAAATGTGATGGAAAAGCAAGAAAGGAGACACATTAGTGATCTCTATTTCATTAAAGAATCTCACCTCTCATTTCTGAACTTTGCAAACCTATTTTTGGATGAAACTACAATCCTAGGAAAGTGTATTTCCCACCCTTATTTATTCCATGGCCCCAGTAAGAGGCTGTTGTTCTTCAGTTTATGTGATCATGTCAGAAATGAAGAAAATCAATGTAGTGATGTTCTTTTAGATCTTTTTATTGCATTCATTTGTATTTTGTCAAAGGGTTGACAATGTACAGCAATTTTTTTTGTGAAATGTGTATGTTTGTTTAGTTATAGTTTGTATGTAAATATTAAGTATTTGAAATGTCTTTTAAGTTCAGCAAAGAGCACAAAGGTACTGTTTAAAACTTGAGTTACTTGAGTATTTATTTTGTCTGATGTTCCCACCCACCCCTTAAAACAAGATATGCATTTAGGCCAAGGAGCTTTTCTCCTTGGCCCTTATGGAAAACGTACTTAATATGAGTTTTTTTGACTGTTAAGTTGTAGGCCATGTCTGTGATGCGAGGAAGCACAAGGTATGTTATTGTGTAGAAACTTGTCTAGCATGTGTTACTTTATTTCGCTGTATTAACTGCAGTTTTTGAAATTTTTTACTAAAAACCTGAACCAAAGTTTAGTTGCAAGTGTTAGAAAGCAGAATTTCGTCAAGTGTTTTCTAATTTCATGGTTGTAAAAGTCAATTTTCCCCTCACGGTTACTTTTTGGTATGTTCAAACATTAATTGTATTTGTTGCCATTAAAAAACTGTGTGTGTTCTAAATTCAATTACTTCATGACCAGAATTTTCTAAACACCTAAGAAAACATGCACACAACTTTCTACACAATTGCTTAGGTCATGGACTTCCAGGAAAGGATGTTTTTGATTATGTATCTGTGGTGACTTTTGATCTCAAAGCAGATGCACGATTTGCTGATCAGCTTGTGCTTTGTGCCTCTACTGGGCCATGTGAGGTATTGTTGAAACTCTAAAGACTGTTTGAAACTTAAGTTGTGACAAGCCAGATTGATTGAGAAGAAAACGTGTAGTCGTTTTGTTTGAAATTAAGAAACAGCTCATTGGATTGTTCAGCATATGGTTTAGTTTTGGCTACCGTTTGCAAGTTCAGTTGTGTGAGTGACAATGTATTTGGCTTAGTGCTTCGAGTTCAACTGCAAATTCACTTTACAAAGTGAGACCTTTATATTTATATTTGGACATTTAAAAGCCATGAATGGTGTATTGTTTCTTAGTACAAATGTATTTTTTCCTTTGCATTGCCTGTCCTTTTGGAGTGGTTCAATCATTGGAACAGAATGGTCGAATGCAAGAGGTACATTTATTGTAAGAGAGAGACCCATTGTTGTGGGAAGCCTTTCAGTCTTAATTTCATTCAAACAGGTTTTATCTGGAATCTTAATGCAGTTAGTAGTTCATTGTGTTGTTTTTTTATTATTATTTTTTATCTGACTGCTTTCTTAAATTCTGTAGTTGATGTTAGTATATTATTGTGTTCTTTGCCTATTGTTTCCAAATGTTCAGATGTTTGGCAACGTTTTTAACAGAAATGAACTCAAGATAGGGCATTGTCCTGAATGTAACTATCATGTAATATTAAATTTGATACTGACAGGATAAAACAATTGCGCAATATCGGGCATGCCATGGTCACGAAAGTTTCTTTACACAACTTCTACCGCATTTTATACTCTTTGCATATGGCCCGTTACGCAGTGGTGCCATATAGGGTTAATTGTGTAAGAAACACTCGTGATAATGGCTGTGATTTGAACAATCTGTGTGAAATATACTTATTTTGATGTTTGGAGATATTCTGCTCTCTATGTGTCAAGTAAAAGTGAAAATAAAACAAAAAAATGGGACCACGAGTACCCAAAAATTGCAACAATAAAAAGTAGTTTTATTTTATGATCCACTTATGGTTTTGTTTTTAGACAGATACGAAGGTGAGCTTAGGTCTTCGCTATTTGAAGTATCATTATTATTGAATTTAAATTTCTAGTATTGATGTGAAAATTTTTACAAGAAATCCTACCTAAAAAGATCCTTTTACCGCCAAAAGCCAAATTTATTTCGATAATCGAAGTACTATCGACTGTCGTGAGAGCGCGTTCTGTAAGAATATCTAGTATTTGTCAGAATGTATGAATAAAATTCTGCTAAAAGAAATCTCTCGACCGATAATTTTAACTACACCGCTTTGAAAAGGCAAAATTCTCGCGATTTGATTTCGGTTTTGTCGTGGTCCTCCTTTTGTTAGTGCATGTTCTTGTTTATAGTAACCACTTTAAAATCGTTGCCGGTTTTGTCAGTGTGCACACACTGAACGCGCCGTATCAGGTTTGGCGCGAGGAACTACTGTCGAGGTGCTTGTTGGTTAATTTGGGTGAAATTACGTTCAGCCAAAATTTACAATGGGCGATAAAGATGGAGGTAATAATTCTAATTAAATAGTTATTAAGTTAATGTAATGTTTGATATAACAAACGTTCAGCAGAAAATGTGCGAGAACGATGTTCACGACAGTTACGTTTACTGTACTATTGGTTTTTAATGTTTTGTTCTAAGGTTTATTAGGCGTTAGTTTTTGTACACCGTAGATGATTTCCGAACGACAAGTTATTATGGATAGAATAATTTCTTTCGTGGTATTTTGTAAATGCAAATTGCCTTGTAAGTGGAGCCATGTTACGTACCCGAATAGCGATGAATCCGTGCCGGTCGTAAACTTTAAGGCTCATTTTCTGAATTAGTTGGCATATGTATTTTGCGATTCATAATTATAAGCAGTTTTCACAATCTATGTATGTTCTTGATGTAAAAAAGACCCACACATCAGTAAAGTGATGTGACACTTCTGAAAGATAGTCAGTTTTGAGTTATAGCCGAAATAATTTAGAAAATATTTTATTTAAAAGTGTAAAAATTACATAGCTCACAAAATAACCGATCTATAGAGCAGGAATTTTTTTTAGTAAAGTAAACGGCTCTGCTCAGATTTAGACTTCTGCAAAACGAGAATGTTAGTAAACCCACTTTTCTTGTATGTACTGATATGTTATAATGTGGAGTGAAAAGTGCTACTATATTTTGTTCACCTTTTCAATTTTGGTGTACTGATATGCTTTGAGAATTATTTTTTTGTACATAGAAACATTTGATGATGCTGTGGAAGAACGAGTCATCAATGAGGAGTACAAGATATGGAAAAAGAATACCCCATTCTTATATGACTTGGTTATGACACATGCTCTTGAGTGGCCATCTTTAACAGCACAATGGTTACCTGATGTTACAAGGTAAATGTTTATTATAAGACATTGTTAACAATAACCCATATATCAAATACAATTGAAACGTTTTGAGAAATTACTTGTGAAAAGCTTTCCAATAAACTACTGGTAAGTTTGTGGGTTTATTGGTTCTGTTATTTGATGGAAATCTAGGGCAACTGGGACTTTGTTTCATTTCAGATGCATATTAAAATATCGTAATTGTAAAGTTCTGGAAATATCAAGGAAAGAACTTGTGAAATTAATGCAAATTTAATTATTTTTCTGTTTAACATATTAGGAACATTATTTGTTATTGTCAATCTGAATTGTGTATGCTGGAAATGGCTGAATCAGCAATGAGAATTTAAAACTTCTTTGATATTACAGGAAGGGGTAATTTGGTCATTTATCAGAATACCAATTGCAAAAGCATTTCATATAGCAGGTAGTGTTTCATGTAGATAAATGGTATCCTCTACATTTTGATTTTTTTTTTTTCCCTCACACCATAAGCAAAATATATAGAATATTGGCATTAGAGAAAGCATTGTTTCTCCTTTCCCCATTTTATTGTATGTATGTTCTAATATCAGAGAAAAAGATACAAAGTTGTAGAAATTAAATTGTGTATTTTATAATGTGTCTGATCTGTTTATGTCAAATGGATGTACTAGATTAATCAAGTAATTCTAGTATCTCTTCAATTTTCATTCACATCACCTTTTATACAACTGCATTGAATTTACTCATGTTCTTTAGTAATTCTTTTCATTTTACAATAAAATCATTAAAATGAAAACTTTTATCTATTAAGGTCTACTATTCTGATACTGGCCTTGTCAGATAGTTATCCTGTTATTTATAATGTTTCTACTTCATGCTTTCAAATTCACTGAATCTGTTTTCATCTTATACGATCCTTTGTATGTTTGACAACACCCCTTTTATAAGCAGCTCTACAAAAGTATAACTTTGATGTAGGTTTTGCAGCGATCATTTTTGTTTTGTCAGTTTCCTTTTATTACCTTAAAGTACATTTATGTAGTTTAAAATATTTTTCATCTGGTTCACTACTTATACTGAACATTCTTGATCTATACTAATAAAATTACTTACTATTAATTAATTAGTTACCATTGATAATAATGTAGAATATACTATCTGGGTTCCTTGCTGCTTAACACATACCACAGTTTCAGCATCTTACTTTGAAGTCCAGTCCAATTTCAGGAAGTCTTTCAAAGTTGTTTGCATTAGCTCAGAGCCAGTGTTCTTACTGTTTCTGCAGGGACTCTATCCTAGGGTTCCCAACAGTGGTGTATTTTCGACCCGCTATATGACTGTTGAATTTAGCCAGCACAAGCTGAATTGCTTAAGTGAGTGTGTACAAGTTCAAAATGTTACGCTGAATACCAAGCAGGATACTCGTGTACCCTCACATGAACATTATGCAAGATTGCTTTGAAATACAAAATAACTAACTTGTATATGAACATTTTGACCAGTCAATATGTAACAAAAGACAAACTTAATAGAATTAATCAACTTTTATTACTATGTTTGTCTTTTAGTAGATTACAACACTTCATCAGAATACCTCTTGTAAGATCATTCCTGTTTTAGAGTATTAATACATGCTTTCATTTTTTCAGTGTTAGAATGTTTATTACACATACATGATGAACACTTTAAACATTTTGTCCTATTCATTCTGTTTCTCGCACATTGCGTGCCTCTTCTAACTTAGGCTGAAGAAGTGCAGAGCCCTCTGCTTACTCTCCAAGCAAGCCTATCACTTTTGACCGCATGGGGATTTTCAGTGAATTCGTGTTTTGTTTTTTCAGTATTTCTTCGACTTTAGCTTTGATAAGTTCTTACTCCATGTTCAATATAAATTTTCTCTTTTTACAACATTTTCTTGTACAAGTTGCCTCAACATTGTCCTTTGGAATGCAAAAATTCATGAACTATGAACATTCATTCACAAGTACAGGTAGACTGATGCAATGATTCAAATGTGTAACTGGAAACTTGCAAATTTCTCAATTATGCCACTTTGCTTGGAAAACCAAGAAGTATAATGTTCAAAATGATACACAGGAATAAAAATTGGTGACACAGAATTCCAAGTGGTGTACAAATGTACACCAGTGTTTGTTTTTAGTTAGTACATGTAAAACACCTTAACAATTACATTCTTTTAAATGTTGTTGTCAATTGAAGTATCTTATGCAATGTAATGAGATTTCAATATCTCATAAGTGCAACGTATACAACAAGAAAAAAGGAAGATTGAGGTACACATACCTCTTGGAATGCAAAGCGTTAACTATGCTCCATGAAGTCACGGAAGATAAGCAACTCGTAAAATCACAGATTTTTGTATATATTGGTAGCTTGTGAGGAGGCAAATTCTAGTGGCCAGCTTAGCGTTTGACTTTATCTGGTGTGGTATTCCTCTGGAGAGAAGGGAGGAGGAAATCCCTTGCAAGCGACATTTAGCTCAGCGTCGAATCTCACCATCCTGTGGGGAGGAACACTTGACACCTGGTAAAACATTCACTACACTAAGGCTACTAACAACCACAGCATTTGGAAACTTCGATCAATCAATTTTAAGGAATTTGCACAAATCTATTCTCTCTTTTAATTATAATTGTTCTCTGGCCCTTTGTCTGCACTTTTTTTAAAGCTTAGCTGATTATCACATGTCTTCCCAATCCCTAACATGTTGGGTAATAAGCAATCCCTGCTCATCCCCCATTTAACATGTGATTTGTGTGCTACATCACTCGAGCAAAGTTATTTTTTCTCATTTTGGAGAATTTAAATCTTTTTTGAGTGTAGCAATTATCCATAGAAAATTTACAATAGTTGCATTTAGCTTAATTATGAATATTCATTTTTGTTAATATAGACACTTTTCACTATTCACACAGAAAACCTGTCGGCGTGCTACACGATCATAAAGGTGATATATTTTAAGGTGGAATATGTTTTTGAAAGCAATAATAATGCAGGTTTAAATTCAGCCTGTAGTTCGGGTAATAGAGTTACCAGTTGTTTATCAAATTAAAAGATTGCAGATAAAACTTGTCTGTTAGTTCTTTACTAAAATTTTGAATTATTACCATGCCCTTTGCAGTTCAATTCACAAATATTAATTATAAGACTTAAAATTTGAGTAAAATCACACTGTGATAAAATATTGCATGTTGATCTGATTTATTGTAAATGATGAAATTTGTATGCTTGTATGTGCAGGCCAGAAGGCAAGGATTATTCTGTGCATCGCCTAATTCTTGGAACGCACACATCCGATGAGCAAAATCATCTACTCATCGCCAGTGTCCAGCTGCCCAATGAAGACGCTCAGTTCGATGCATCACATTATGACAATGAGAAAGGGGAATTCGGTGGTTTTGGCTCTGTAAGTGGCAAGATAGAGATTGAAATCAAGATCAACCATGAAGGTGAAGTGAACAGGGCACGCTACATGCCTCAGAACCCATGTGTGATTGCCACCAAGACTCCGTCAAGTGACGTGCTGGTGTTTGACTACACCAAGCACCCTTCGAAGCCAGACCCCAGTGGAGAGTGCCACCCGGATCTCAGGTGGGGAGCTCTCTTTCAGTCAAGGAACAAGTCGGTTGTTCATTGGTTACAGCTGCAATCTTGGCCTCTTCTGATCTCTTTTGTAATTTTCTCTCTCATTTGTTATTTGGCTCTTGCTGCAAGGGTCATCAATAAATTTAATTCATGCAAGGGAGGGGTTTTGAGGGAGTGTTACATAGAGGAAGAGAGATAAGTTCAGTGATACGTAATGCTGATTTTCTTTTTTTCTTCAATATATGCTGAAATAATTATTTTTATTCAGTCTTATGCTAAAACATTAAATTATTAATAAAGTATAGTTAAAAATAATTAAAAAGATGTATAAATGCTTATAACAATTGGGAATACAGAAGCTATTTTTACTTACTATAAGTAGGGGGAGGGTGTTGTCACAAGCATTATGTAATTATTTTGTAGGGGTTTAAGTACTCGTTACTGAGGGAGGAGAGGGGGGTACTCAGAACTGCAAATGAGCGTAATGTAATTAATAAATGGTCCCTAATAAGTTCTCTGGTTTGTAGTTTAAATGTGGTTTGTGGCAACTTAGTTCCCAAAGGCTGGACTACTATTGATTCTACTTTTTCTTTTTAACACAAGTTCCCAGAGTGGCACATGGGGGCATGAATGGTCCTGGACGTACTAGCACGCTCATAGCAGTCAAAGGATTTCAATTTTTAAACGAAATCCTTCTGTATGCCCATATAAACAGTGATGGAATATTTTCTTGTTTCAGATTGAGGGGCCATCAAAAGGAAGGCTATGGCCTGTCGTGGAACCCAAACCTGAATGGCTATTTGCTGAGTGCTTCTGATGATCACACGATTTGCTTGTGGGACATCAACGCCACACCCAAAGAAAACCGCATAATAGATGCCAAGACCATTTTCACAGGGCACACTGCTGTGGTAGAGGTGTGTAGTTATTGGAAGCTGAATAATATTTATTTATAAATAATGACTGCAACAGGCATTTGTACACATCTTACAACGATGCATCAGCTTATGCAATAGTACAGTTTGGTAGAGAAACAATTTTACAATTTGTATCACAATTAAGTATCAGACTGTATGACTACTTACACATATACATCTATATATTGAATGTTATTTAGTTAATAATAATGTCTATCTAGACCATTTTTGAAGGACTACAGTTCCCTTTTGAGTAATCAGTTGAAAGTGCATTCCATGCTTCTACATCCCAATTAACAATTAAGTGAGGACTTTGTCCTATCCTTTCTTTCTTTCAACTTTGTGGCTTCTCTAAGCATAGGTTCTGTGGCTTAGTTTAAAAATGTTTTTATATAAAACACACTCACACACTGTATTTACCTGAATATAAGATGAGGATTTGTTTTTCCTGTTTTTGACCTTTAAAAAGAAAGGGGTAGTCATATGATCATGTATGAAGAAAATGCAATATCAATGGTATTATATTGTTCCTGGTGTAGTACAAGTTAACTTCATAAAGAAGCATCATTTGTAATAGAAATTTGTCTTTTAATTACTATTAGATGTTTATAATTAAAGTTATTATATATCGAATAAGTTTCCCAGTCGTTATGCAGAGTTCTTTTATAGGATTTGTATTTCTTAGCGGCAGTTAGTAGTGTTGCAACAGTTGTGACGTCGCCAAAGCCTTCCTTGTGGCCAACAAGACACTCGCAGGCCACAAGCCTTCCTTCCCCATCTGTGTCATTGAGTACCGCGACTTTAGTAGTCACTTGGTAATTGTGTTCGTGGTTGTGTTCTGTAGCTTTATGCTGATATATTAGGGTGGCAATGGCTGACCGCGTGGAGAAAAGAGGAAGTGTAGAACTTGCTAGAAATGTGGAGCGACATAATTACGATGCAAACTTCAAATTGTGAGTAATTCATCTCGCTGAACAAACTAACAATAGTGAAGCCGCACAAGGTTATGCTGTAAGTGAAACAAATGTACGGTGTTGTGAGAGTGGTAAGAAGGAATGCATGAAATCTTGCAGTTCCACAAGGAAATGTTTCACCACAAGTGGAAATGGACCATAAGTGGGGGGCCATCCTGAATTCGAAGATGAAGTTGTCGCGTTCATTATAGAAAATTGTTACAAGGGTTTCGGAGTTTCAATGAACAGCATTTGCATGATAGTATAAGAAGTAATAAGAAAGAAAAACATTTTCTGACTGTAATTCAATCTGAGGGTCGGCTGGTGCATACGATCATGAGAAGGAAAGGGTTCAATTTGCTTAGAACAACTTTCCTATCGCAAAAGCTGCCTGCAGATTGTGAAGGAAAAACTTCTGCAGTACCAAAAGTACATCACACTATTCCAACATCAATACAACAGAATTGGAAGCCATTCTCAATCTCAACGCACAACTTGAACAGGACGTAAAGATCGGAACAGAGTACTCGCATAGTTTGTCTACAGATCAGAAAGATGTTGACCATGCCGATTGCACTGAATGCTTGTGAAAGAGGAGCCAGAACACCAGTAAATAGCACTGGCCTGAATCTAAATAAGTGAAAAGAGTATTGCAAGTTTAAAAATCGATGAATAGGTAATGCCAGGCAACGAGGTTGCTATCCCGCGAGGCTGCTAGGCAGCGGCCATTACAAGACCCCATTTGCCGAAGAGAAACTAATAATGATGGCATATGAAGCAAACAATTGAAAATTACTGATTTTTTAAAGGACAAGTAAAGATACTGAATTTTTCAGTTTGTGCTGTTAATGTATTTTGTGTTTTATGTTTATAAAATCAATAATTGTGGAGAAATTGTATTTAGTTTTGACATCCTCAGATATAATGAACCAAAAATGTTAGTCCCCAAAAGTTCACAATAACCAGAGTGGACTGGATTTGTTTTCTTATAATTTCTATTGGTTTCCATTTTATTTTCAAATAATGAATTACAAATCCTCAGTGCTTTTGGAATTTTACATAATTCTTAAGAATAAAATTGAAACTTCTATGCAATTAGAACTATAAAATTTTAAATGAAAATGGTTGAAAAAGAAAATAAACTAATTGTCTCTTCAAACTTTTGTTTATATGCCAGTTTTCTTAGAAAATGAATCTAGTTTTCAAAGCAGGCTGCTTGAAAAATATTGCTAGATGCCTAGATACACAGCATTAATAGTAACTATTTAGATGTGAATTGGTTTCTATGATACTTCAGCATAACATCGGTATTTACTTAATACATACAAATCATTGTTTTACGCATGAATTTTTAAATGAGACAATCTCCATTTGCTTCTAGATCAGTCAATGGCATGCTACCATACGTTGGTAGCGTGGTGCATATGAACATTTTGAATAAGCATTACAGATAGATATTATGATTAATTGATATTAATAAAAGCCCGATGATGAGGAGAAATAGTGCCTTCAAACTGTTGCAATACAAAACCTAATACTTAATGCATATTCATTGTGTTATCATGTAAACACCACAATAGTTAAAAAGGTCTGTTAAAAAATAAAATTGCCAATTAGAACGATAATGATGGTACAAAAGCTTTTTAAAAAATTTAATCATTTCCAAACCATGTACAAATTAGTCTAATTCTTATCTTTCAGTTATGTGCACATTAATTATTTGTATTACAATAATTATGTATGCTGTATATTATAGAAACAAAAATTAGGCGTGTAGATGATGGAAATTATTGTTTTGAAAGGGGTGAAAGCAAGAAAAAAGTTTGGAACCCCTGCCCTTGGTCAATCTTGAAAGAACTGCTTTCTAGAATGATAAAATACTACTCAATTTCTCTTTATTAATAACTGGACTTTTTAAATTTTGTTTTATACTGTTTTTAATTGTTAATTATTACGTTACTTTTTTAATCTAACCCTCTGAGAAATGAGCTGCAGGTTTTGTTAAATCATTCATGTATTTGTGTGATGATAGGATGTTGCCTGGCATCTCCTTCATGAATCTCTCTTTGGGTCTGTTGCTGATGACCAAAAACTGATGATTTGGGACACTCGTTGCAACAACACTAGTAAACCTTCACACACTGTGGATGCCCATACAGCAGAAGTTAACTGTTTGTCTTTCAACCCATACTCTGAATTCATTTTGGCCACTGGAAGTGCAGATAAGGTAAGTTCTTCGTTTTCCCTACTTATGTATTATTCTTTAAAAACAATTTGACCAGATGTTAGAAGCTTGAGACAACAGCAATGTGCTTAAGTTTGTTTAAAAAGAATGGAGATCAGGAGATAGTGTTCTGATTTATGTTAAATTGAGGGACAGTAACTGCATTAACGAAATTTGCTTATTTATGGTAAGAACTGTAACCAGATCTTCATATCTTGTGCAAGTGTTTGCGTAGATTATTATTTATTATATACAGATTAAAAGTCAGAGGGAAGATTTTCATTGAGCTTCATAAACATTGAGCTTCTCACTCACATCCAGTGCTTCCATCAGATGTATTTCGATAGCAAAGCCTGCCAGCCACTTAAACACCCAAATTACCACTGGCATTGGAATGAAGGACTGTTTGTTTCACACTCATTTTCTTTTTGAATCCCAATCAATCCCATTATAAATAGCTAAAGGTGTTTCCTTGTAAGATTCCCTCTGATATGTTTGAAAAAGCGAACTTTTGGTACTGTCGAGGATACCTACGCAGCGTTTCTAAATGTGCATTGTGGTCTTCAAATATGCAAATTGTGTCAATTCATTCTGATGTTTTATGTTGTATAAATCACACAGGCATATGGTAATATAATTTAATTGATATATTTATTTTAAAATCTAATTTTTAATACAATGTTGTTGAAACTGAAAAATGAGATAGTGTTATTTTATAACAAAACTAACAATGAATGCTATAATCAGAGGATTTAATGGAAGTTTTGCTTAGATTTTAATTTTCAAGCCATAATTAATGTAGAGAAATTAAAATTGTTTCTGAACTCAAATCTGTACTGTTAAATTTTGACATTTCTTTTTTGCTTTCTTGTCCAATTTCGCTGGTCAATTCGTTGTGAATATTTTAATCAGAGCTGTTGTTTTAATTTTCGATAAGTCCAAGAGAATTAGCTGTTTCCATTCACAGTCTCCCTTGAATGTTTATCGAGAATATTCACAATGGTTTCACGCACTAGGTAATCTTAGTCTAATTGATGAAGCAGGTTTCCTATTTTCAAAAACTTGCAGGGCAGGGTCCAAAATGTTCAAAGGAATTCCTCATTGTGCTCAAGTTGGTAAAATGAACGCTGTGGTCTAAGAAGCCCTAAGAAGAAACTCCCATGGTGCATCTCCATTGGGTATTTCACATTGTACTGTCAATGACATTTCAGTTGTCGGCAAAGGTGAGAGGGATCATGCCCCCACGGGCCACAGCATCCATGCCTGTGGTTTCCTGGTGTATTGACTGGTGCGCCAAGCCAAAAATAGTTGATTAGAAAAAATCCTCCACTGGTGACCTTCAAATTTTGTGCTTTTTATATTCTCAGTTTTCAAGCATAAATTCGTTTAGGTTTTTTCTTCTGAGTGTATTAGTTAATTTTCTCTCACAAGATCCTTCAATGCATTTGTCAGCAAATTCATTGAATGAATTTGAAGGGAAGGTAACAGTGAGTTCAATTTTAGTTTGTATAAAATCCTGTAATAGGGCTATTCTGATTTTATAATTCTAAGTTAATTGACAAGATAACTGTATGTAAACTACAGAGACTAATTTGTTTATAATATAGCATTAATAAGAATACCTCCAGTTTTCTTGTATTTTGTGTGTGTTTCTTTTATTAGTAAGAAATAATTAAGTTAAAATATAAATTATGAATTGTAATTTTTTGTTGCAGACTGTAGCATTGTGGGATTTACGGAATTTGAAACTAAAACTTCATTCTTTTGAATCGCACAAAGATGAAATCTTCCAGGTATGGATTGTTTTGTTATTTTCAAGACAGTTTATTATTCATCCAGTTGGTAAACAGTGTGTCAAATCTTTTGTTTTGTACATTTAATCTTCCTTAAATGTCAATTCCAGAGTCCTTTCCATCCATGACATTTCGAAATTGGTCATTTTATCTGATAGCCTAAAGAATCGCTTCCTAAAAGTGTGGTTAATTGTGCACAGGTTCAGTGGTCACCACACAATGAGACAATTCTGGCGTCAAGTGGTACTGACCGCCGGTTACATGTGTGGGATCTCAGCAAGATTGGTGAGGAGCAGTCCGGAGAGGATGCAGAAGACGGACCTCCAGAACTGCTTGTGAGTTTTTACAGAAATGATCTTGAGAGAAATTATTATTATTGTTGTTATTATTATTATTATTAGTGATGTGAATAAAACCAGTTAAAAATCTGCGAAAAAACATTTATTATTAACATATTATTTATATTAACATGGACTGCTGGCAGATAAATGTACTACAAATATATCGATAGCAGTTAAGTCCATTCAGGCCAATTGATTTTTTGACAGCTGAGCTGAAAACAACATTGTTCTGCAAATTGTGTTCTGCCAGCCATACTAGCTGGAGTGCCAAGTAATAACAACAACAACAACAACAACGTTATGCTGCTTTTGCTACAGGGGGTTCCCCCTAGTAATTAAAGACAATCAATTTCTTTTAAAATATTTATTGAAACACTGCATTTTCAACTCTAGCACAAGCAATTTGCTTACTTCTATCTATGATACTGTTTATTCAAGTTTAAATAATAAGTTGGATAGCAAAATCAGATTTAAATGAAGGAAGGATTGGTATTGGGGCGCTTCCTTTTCAAAATTAAGTCGTTATGAAGCTCTTGTTCGGATAGCCGCATACCTGTTTGTTGGTCATAGATTTCCCTTGTGTTTGAATCCATGTTTAGTAGTGTGTCACTCGCATCGCAATCGTTTAGCTGATGACAGGGTCTTGCTCTCTTTCTGTCCCTCCTTGGTATTTCAATAGTTTTTGTACCTGAAGGATGGAAGGATGAATGCAACAATCTTTAATATATATTAGAATATTTTTTACAACAATTTTTAAAATAACTTGTTTTATTTCTAGAAATTTGCGAATCTAAAGATGTAGCCACATCAGTCAATAACATTTTGTATGGCATCTAACAAATGTTCACATGAAAAAAAAAAAAAAAAAGGCCATCAGAGAAATGTTCATTGTCTTTAATTGTGGGAACCATTTATAAGAGTAACATCAATCAGCCGGCTACCTTAGCCAATAGCAATTTTTTGATGAAGTGTTGTAACTTTTCTGCAAATAATTTCGTCCAGTGTAATTGCAAGCTTTCAACTAGTTAATGTAGTGTTTTTGTTGATGTAAAGACCTTTCTTTCTTTTTAAACTGTTCTCTGCAGTTGTAAGGAATTTGTTACTAATTATCTCTAACTTTTTTGCGTAGTTCATCCATGGTGGACACACAGCTAAAATATCAGACTTCTCCTGGAATCCAAATGAGCCATGGGTGATTTGCTCTGTATCAGAAGATAACATCATGCAGGTAATTTCAACTTGTTTAAAATTTATCCGTTCGTTTTTTAAGTTTTTTAATAATTTGCTAAAATGAGATATTGTTTATTATTCAATTAACTTGAAATTTGTCTTTTTGCTTCAATTTTATGAATTTCCCCTGACTCCTAAGTGTATACTCAACTTACCTTTGTTTTCCACATAATCTGACTCAAAATTGCCAAAACCCTTAATAAATTCGCTTAATTTAAACAACTCCAACCCCACCCTCGTTGGAGGGAGGCAGAGGTCCCCTAGCAATGGCAGTCTTAGGTTTCTAAACATCTGGCATGTGCTATACTTTTTGTTTGTTTATTTATTCATATACGGACACCACTTTCTGAGAACCTTGAGAAAAGGGAGGCTGGTGTAATTAGGGAATTTGTTCAAGCTTTAGAAGTCATAAACTTTCAAGACAATTATGAAGATCCACTATAAAAATTTGTACAGAATTGGGTTGTTGACATTGACTGAATTTAAGAACGAAAAATTAGTAATATTTACCCTAAGGATGTTGCAATAGTTATCCCTTTAGAATGATTTAGTTATTTTTTTACGTGTAGAAATCTTTATATAACTACAAATAAAATTAAAATTGTCTGTAAGACTGGGCAAAAGAAAGGTAAATTTATTCCACAAAAAGAGAAGCTACCTTGTCATTATATTACAGCATTTATTTTACACTTTGAATGGTGAGATTTGTGTGTATGTGGTAGGTGTGGCAGATGGCAGAGAACATCTACAACGATGAGGAGCCAGAGACTCCTGCCTCAGAGCTGGAGCCTGGGGCATCGTAAGGTGTGGCCAAAACTGTCAGGTCAATACAGACCAGGACTGAGCTTTGTTTTGCAAGTGATAGTGTTGGTGAAGTCTCTGGAAATACAGTCATTCTTGTTGCTCTTAAGCCTTGCATTTCCAAATGGCTACTGTTCATCAAAAGAAGTTTTGTTTAAATGTTGATGGTGTTGCTTGTCACTTGCAAATGTTCTGTTTTGGTTGTGACATTTGTTACAGCTTTCCTGTTAGATCACCGTTTCAAACTTTCATATCTGGACAATACTTTTCTTGCAAGTTTGTGTAATGTTCATTTCAGTGTCTGCAGTGTTATGTATTTGATGTTAAATTTGCATTTTTGATCTCATCTCCAAAACAGCTGTGAGAATCCAGATAAATGAAAGTAATTTCCAAAATGTTTATAGACACCTAAATAAAAAATAAACATTTTCATGTATTGTTTGTAACTGTTTATAAAAGATGTTCTTTTCACTCCATTGTAAGCATTATTATTCCATCAACACAATTTGAGCATACTTTTTATTTCATGGCTGTTTGTCTGGAGTAGGCATTGATAAAAAATGTACCTGAGAGATCATTGAAAGGGATGTTTTCAAAAACACAGCTGGGATTTTGGAAACAAATTGATTGGGGAAAGTGACAAAACGAAGACATTGAGGCTTCATCTCCTGTGACTTCCTGTTATCACTTTCCACTTGCGTGCAACAGCATTCTTCCCCTGAAATATCATTCTGTATATGTTCAAAATAGTGTTCAGTATTTAAGAATAGGGTTCTAATTTAACTCGTCAGTATGAAGTTTTGTTGACTTCATTTGAGACTGTAAAGAAGCAGTCAAGTAAATTTTATAAGTACCTTAAAACTCGTGGCATGTTTGTAATTGGCATTTTCTGTAATAAAAAATTGAATTTTTTCTTGTTCTATTTTTGCTTCCTTGTCAATTTGTGAAAGTAGGTAACAAAGAAAAGTTCTGTAGGTGCTAGCCTGTAGACAATCACTTGGGATAAAAAAAATAAAGTTGTTTTTGTCACAGTTGTTCTCTCAGTGGTTTTGGTACAGTAAGTTATAACACGTAGACAGAAGTGTGTCCCCCCAGTACACTGATTACTCAAAACCGTATCCAATACATAGCATCACCATTACATCTTACTTTGCAAAAGGAGGTGGCAAAGTCCACAGTGCGCAGATTGCACTTTGCTCCCTATAAGCTTAAATCTGATTTTACTATTCCTGCGTTTTGTAAATGAAAACCGGCACATAGCTTTCCTCCAAGCTAATAGCAATACTATTTGATAACTTGAATATAGAGGTAACCTTTTTCAGTCCTTTCATTTTATTTGTTACCCTTCAAGCCAATTGTTTCGATTATACAAACGCTGGGCTTTTATTTTACTCAAACTGCACCTCTCGAATAGAGGGAAAGAAAACGATAGGTGATGCATGAGGGGGTGAGGTATCATGCAACTACATAGGTTCACGATCACTACTTCACTGGACTCAGACCAATGATATGCCACACCTAGCTCTCTACTGCTCTCCTGCCTTAGCAACCTCTTCCACTTCTCTACAATGGCTGGGTCCTTAGAATCCTTATTTAGGCTACAATCGGAAACAAGTTTTTAAAAAAGTAATTGTTAAAGTAAAGTATGAAGAGAGAAAATTTAGACCTTAAAACAAAGGTATCAATAAGCAAGGGCCCTTGCCTAAGGAAGTTGTGTTGATGTGTGTGTTAAAATATCACTTTCATGTGAAGTAGCACAAAGTGCTTTTGCCGTTCTACATAAGATAGTGTTCATCTATGATGCATGTTACTTTTCGCATCAACACAATGCTTGTGTGATATGCCTTAATCCTGTTGTCGTATAATGATTGGTCGTGCATTTGACCCCGCCCCTTTCCAATCTATTTTGGCCAGCAAGCAAATGTATTCAAAGCCTATCATCATTTTTATGAGTTACATCCAATCGGAGATGTCTTGTGAAAGATTTCCTGAACCTGACCTGGAGGAAGGTGAAATTCAAGAAGAAATTTGAACTGTTAATTAAAATTCTGGATCTGCAGCAAATTTTTCAAGATTTATATTTTAACTTTTTGTCTTTAATATTTTCTACTTTCTTGTATATGGAATAATATACATAGTATAAAGTTATGTAATGCTGTGGAAAATCAATTTCGAGATTTCAATGGAAATAAAGGTTTGGGGTCCCCTGATACTGATTTTTTTTTTTTTTTTTTTTTTTTTTTTTTTTTTTTTTTTTTTTTTTTCTTCCTCCAAAATGTTTGTCCGTCTGCCGTACGTGAGCAACACTAATACCTAAACTATACACAGGATATTTTCCGAACTGAATAAACCCCTCTCAATCTGGCCTCTCAGAAAACTCTGTGATCTTGAAAAATGTTCATTAATTTTGGGGCTACTTTACATAAAGCCCTTGGAACATTTTCAAAATTTTCTCAAAAATGGCTCCAAATTTATTCTTTAATTTTCTTGTAAGAATTGATGAAATGCACTTCTGAAGGTGACCTTATTTTCTCTGTTAATTCTGAATTTTCAAAAATTGTGGAAGTTTGCATTTGTCTACAACTACAATATTGAAGATAGAGATTTTCCTTCAAGTAAAATAATTATCTATAATTAGTTCTCTCATTAAGTTCATGTACATTTCTTTGAAAATTTTAGTAGTTTTCGTGGAATATTAAAATATAACAGAAACTGCTTCTAATTTCTTCTGAACCTTTGGTAGAGATAAATATCCTCTATAAGATGACATAAACATTGTTCTGCTCAGTTTTGTGCAAAAAAAAAAAAAATAATAATTTTTTTTTCTTGGCTCTCACGATATTTACATTAGTGGCAATTTGGTCACATTATTGCACTTCTGAATACATGTGCTTTAAGTGAAGTCTTATAAAGTTTCTCAAAACCTCAAATTTTTTTCTGTGAAAATGAGCTTGAAATTCCACATTTTCAGAACTGCCATTTCGTCAAAACATTCTTCTTTAGGTTTTACTATGTAATATTCTTAAAGTAATATTTAGGTTATTGAGAAAATTATGGAGAAATGTACTTTGGGTGACGATAGTTGGCAGCTAGTAAGAGAATGGGGCCAGACTAAAAAACTAGGCTACACCAAAGAAATTAGAAAACTAATTAGTACAAGAAAGTCTGTGGCTTCGCTAGTGCTAAGGTTTTATCAATAAAAGTTTATTTCACAAAATTAAATTTATTTACAAATATTCATCAGCATCTTGAACTGCAGAATGTTGGGCCAACCAGTTTGTACAGAGCACCTGGTTGTTTATACTACAGTTCATGCTGTTAAGTGGTTCATACTTCGTGGTTAACTGTGGTTCGTACTTCCTGGTGTTTGTGTTCTCTCCATTTTTCTTTGACATCCCATCTCTCTCTGTCCTTTGGCTTGTGGTTAATTCTATGCTACTTTGGAGAGACATCTTAATCTTCCTAACTATATATTCTGATTTTTAGCTCATTTTCATCCGTGATCAATCGCTGCAGATTAATTTCCAATTCAATAGTTCTTCTCTATTATATACAAATATAGTATTGACCCCGAGAACTATTCTATACCATTACAGGGATTTTTTATGAATGTCTTGCAATTTGATATTTAATTACTGTGCCCTTGTGTGTTCGGCTTCTGTTCTTCCATGTACATTAAATGCCCCTGTTTGTTCCTGCTGAAACTAATTTTTATAAGCCTTTTCTAGTTTCCCTACAATGGATTTTAAAAAATTGTTATAAAAGCTGCCCTTTTGTTAACAATTATACCTTCTATGTTTTTTTATTTTAATGTTTTCCTTAAATCTTTGTTCCTTCGTCAATCCAGACATGTTACTTTTGAGATGTAGAAGAGGAATCTCATTTGTGTTATTTCAAATCTTTGCTGATACCTGCTTTTTAGAATCCAAAGTTAGGGTTCAGTTCTGATCGAAAAAGCTGTGTGAGTTTGGATGTTATCTATTTGCAATTGTGTTTCTGGAGTCGTGTTTCTATTTACTAATGTTAAAATGATAGTTTATCAAAATTGATATATGTGTAATATGTATAATAATGTCCTTCCAAGATTATCTCGATTTTCTTATCACTTGAAATTTGAAATAGGATAACCAAGTTGCTGCTGTTACCAAAAGAGCCAATAAGCTATTATACCTGATCAGAAAGGCATTCTCTACATTGCATTCATCTAACACGTAAAATTGATTTATATGACGTGTATTAGACCTAAACTAAAGTATGTTAATGTGGTTTGTTCCCCTTACTATCAAAAAGATAAAAACATATTGAAATATTACAATGGCAGATTACCAAGATCCCTAGAGATCTATTATGAACTGAGGTACTTTTCTTCATACTCTTCGTACTATTGGATTATGAAGGACGATGGAGAGAAATATCACCTCTGACATTAGAACAGAAGAAATAGGAGTGATATAGAAACTTCTAAAATCTTGAATATACATTCTTGAATTTAAGAATTTTATTAAAGCCATGGAATCTAGACATTGAGGACATTGTACAATATGTGTACAACAGCTTGTTGCTGTCATCATTAATAAATAAATGATAATTAGCATTTGGAACGAAACGAGTACAAAGAATAATTGGAAACTAATTCTTATTCTTTCTTCATCTTCATTTCACAGGTTAGGCTTGTCTGTTCCGTCTCCAATGTATCTTTTCTTGGATCTTCCCATGTCTCTTTTCCCTCTCGATTTGTAAGCGTATGCTAATTTATTTTATTTATTTACGCCAATCGGCTTTATCCATTTATGTTATAATACAATCTGCAGTTATAATATATTAATTAATTGCACTCTGAATGAATACAGTAATTTGTAGAAATACAATACTTTATCTATCAAATTTAATGTTTTTCATCTTTGATAAAAATGTAGATGTAGAACCTCCAAAAAAATTGATTTCTGAACAGTACTTATTTGCCAGGCTAACTATCCTGTTTTTAGGGCCTCGACATATGTAGTTTTTCGACGATTTCACTGCATTCAATAACCTATACGATCTCAAACCTGGCTTTGGGCATATGAATTGGAATTGTTCCAATATCTCTGGGCAATCAATTTGTCCATTGATAGTCTTATAAAAAACGTAAGATCCGAAATTTCTCTCCGGTTTATCAGACTGTCGATGTTGAAATCATCGAAGACATTCTCAACGCTTATATTATATCCTCTGTTCTGCATGTAATATGTGATGTATTTGTAGAATTTTTTCTGTATTTTTTCCACTTTATCAAGAAGGAGATTTGTATATGGTGACCAAACACCTGTGCAGTATTCAAGTCTTGAACGGACCAATGTCGAATATAATTGAATAAGTGTGCGCACATCGTTAAATTCTCTACCCGACCTAAGTATAAATGCGAGTATTCTATAGGCTTCTGATGTGATCTTGTCTACGTGTCTCGAGAAAGTCAACTTATTATCGATTATGACACCCAAATCTTTCAAAGATGCGACTTCCTGAAGTTGATGTTCCTCAAGTTGGTATGCCATAGGTCTTCGATAGAATGAACGAGTGAAGGACATCACCACACACTTATCAATATTCAACTTTAGCTTGTTTACCCTACACCATTTGCTTAGTTCATTAATGTCTTGTTGAAGAATGTTGACATCCTCATCATCAATTATTTTTCTAAAAATTTTCAGATCATCAGCATATAACAAATGGTCTGATTTTAGTGTATTACCGATGTCATTAATAAACATAATGGCAGTCTTGTTTCTTCCATTCTTTCTAAGTACTGTACCTCATCGCTGAGCTCTGGATTTTGCTTGCTCTTCTGTTAGAACCCAGCACTCACTGCCATAAAGTAATATCGGGAGAGCTATTGTTTTATAAAATTTGATTCTTTCCGGGTCTTGTTTTTAAGAGTGGTATGTATGGTTCCACAGATGGATTGAAATCATGCTAATTATTTATCAGTCTTTTTGTCCTTCTGTGTCTCATCCTAGGTAATTAAAATTTAGAACTTGTTCTGGCCTTACGTTGTCTAGAATTATTTTTAAACAGAAAATCTCTTTTCACCAAAACACTAATATTTTGGTTTTGTCTTTTGAGATAGTTAGGTTGTAAGAGTTGCAGGGCACGTTAAGTGGAGCAGGGCACGTTGTATATCATTTTCAATTTCTTGAATTATAACCATCATCTACGTGAAGTAGAAGGTTTAACATATTTTTCCTAGTCAATTTTATTCCTGTGCTAATATTTTGTTTCCATCTCAGAAGTATGTGATTTACATGTATGTTGGACAGTGTCTGTGACATTGAACATCCAGAGAACTACAGAGGTATTAGCTTGCTTAATTCAACATACAAGGTAATGCCAAAATTCTCCTAAAGATAGCAGAGTTGCTAGTGGATGAAGGACAAACTGGTTTTTGAAAAGGAAGGTCAACTACTGACAATGTATTTGTTCTTCAGCAAACCAAGGAGAAACGCAAAGAATTAAATCTACAAACACATATGGCATTTATTGATTTCATTAAAACCTTTGATACTGTTGGTAGAAGACAACTTTGGAACATATTGGAAAATTATGGCTACCCTAACTGTCTCATAGAAACAATTAAAAGTATGTAGAGTAATTAAAAAATAATTATTACATCAGATAATCTGTCAAGCGCCATATTTTAAAACTTCAGCATTAATTTTGTCTGTTCCAGTAGCTTTTCTATTCTTTAGTTCTTTTGATGATTCTTGCAGCTCTTGTATTGTGATTGGATCAATGCTGCTGTTCTTTTCTCCTTAACATTCCGATCTTTCATCTTTTTGTCCTTGTACCATAATTGTTTACAATATTCAATCCAATCTTCTTTCTTCACAACATCAATTCTTATTGTATCTCTTTCTGTCTTGTTCAGATGTTTCATTATCTTATATGCAGCATTTTTTCTTCCATGTGTCATTTTCAATTTTACTTATGAATTTATCCCAGGCTTTCTGGTGAGCTTCTTTGACTATATACTTTGTTCTGTCCCATGCTGTCTTATAGTTTTCTTGGGTTAGTTTGTTGTTTTGTTGAAGTCATTTTGTATATTTTTCCTGTCTGTGATTGCTTCTGCAATTTCTTCGTTCCAGATTCTCAAACCTTTTTTGTTTCTAATCTTTTTCTTTATACCAAGTGCTTCTGTTGATGCTTTCTTTATATCAATCTTTACA